ATCATTATTTCATTTTCATATTGAGATATTGGTCTATTAAAAGTTGATTAGTAAAACCTTTTATAAGTTAGACAAATCAAACTTTTTTATATGAACTGTAACTTATTTACCTGTTAATTTCGCTTCTAGTGTTTTTGTCATGCAGAAATTTTGTTGTTTTTTTTTAAAGATTGGCACCTGAGCAACTGTTGCCAATCTTCTTTTTTTTTTTCTCCCCAAATCTCCCCAGTATTTAGTTGTATATATATTTTAGTTGTGGTCCTTCTAGTTGTGGCATGTGGGACGCCGCCTCAACGTGGCCTGATGAGCGGTGCCATGTCTGTGCCCAGGATCCGAACTGGTGAAACCCTGGGCCGCCAGATTGGAGCATGCAAACTTAACCACTTGGCCATGGGGCCAGCCCAGAAATGTTTGATTTTAATGCAGCCAAATTTATCAATTTTTTAATTTATGTCTTCTGAGTTTTAAGCCATAGTTAGAAGCCTTCGTTACTCACAGGTCATAAAATAATTCTCCCATGGCTTCTAGTACTTTCTGATTTCACTTTACACATTAAAATCTTTCATCCATTTGGAATTTATTCATAAAAGGCACAGGGTATGGATCCAGCTTTCCCCCAATGCCTGCCCAGTTGTCCCAACACCACTTGTTGATAGTCCATCTTTTTGTCACTTATATGAGATGCCACTTTTAGCACGTACTAAATTCCCGTAAGCATTTGGGTCTATTCCTGGATTATCTAATGTCTTCCACTGATCTTTCTACACATGAACTAGTACTACAGTATTCTAATTATTAAACTTTATCATATGTTTTAAAAACTGGAAGGGCTAGTCCTCTTAGTTTTTCTTTTTCAGGTTTTTCTTGGTCATTCTTGTTTTTTTTCCTTTAAATTTTCTTTACAAACTTTCAAATCAGCTTATCTAGTTACTGAAAAATCCCATTTTTATTGTAATCATGATAAATGTATAGCTCTACTTTTGGAGAAATGACATCTTTATAACATTGAGTCATACTATCAAGAACACAGTCTATCTTTCTATCTGTTCAAGTTTTGCTTGTACCTCAGGAACTTATTAAATTTTTTTTTTTTTTTTTTTGAGGAAGATTAGCCCCGAGCTAACATCTGCCCCCAAGCCTCCTCTTTTTGCTCAGGAAGACTGGCCCTGACCTAACATCCATGCCCATCTTCCTGCACTTTATATATGGGATGCATACCACAGCATGGCTTGCCAAGCAGTGCCAGGTCTGCACCCAGGATCCAAACCGGCAAACCCCAGGCCGCTGAAGTGGAACGTGCACACTTAACCACTGCACCACCGGGCCAGTCCCTAAAGTTTTCTTTGTTGTACACTTCTTCTTAAATTTATTTCTAGGCACTTTTGTGCTTTTGTATGTATTTTTCTTGTTGCAGTAAAAGGAGTCTTTTAAAAAATATATGAATCCTACAGATTTCTGTACATTAATCTCATTCCCTGCCATCTAAATAAGTTTTCTTACCATTTTTAGTTTTTCAATTAATTTTCTTAACAACTGAAGAGTAGTAATTTTACCTCCTGCTTTCCAATTTTTAAACCTCGAATTTCTTTTTCTTTTTTATTACTAAACAATCTTAACACCAATGAATCTGAATTGTTTTGAAAGCAAATGTTTTCTGACCTTTCATTTAGTGTTTCTGAAAAATATGGTCAGATACAGATTGAATGTTATTTTATTTGTTTTTCTTCAAGCACAGTTCTCCGTAAGACCTTAATTTTGTCAACTAGGGTGATTTTTAGGCATTTAATAATGCTGTGCTGGTAAAGAATGGCCTATCTTAGCCCTGAGGGTGACACAGAGAGGCACAAACTGTGGGTCACCCCTGCTGGGTGGTTGACCAGCTGCCCACTGAGTGCTTCATTAGCTGGGGCAAGGGATGTATCTTTCGGCCACAAACTGTGGTTTCTTCCCCACTTCTGCTTTTCCTCTCCCCACCAGCAAAGCCACTCAAATGTGCAGGAAGTAATTTGGAGAGCTGACTGTATATTCAGATGACCCTGTATGTGGAATTCATCCAAGGAAACAATTCGGTGACATCCATGGGCACCTGTGTGGGAGGCTGGAACTAGAATATACTAGAGGGAAAACCCCAAGTCTTTTAGATTTTAAATACACAGGAGACTCAAAATACAATATTTCATTGAACACCAAAGGGAAAAAGATATGCTTGTTATCTTCTGCAGTATTTTTTTTACTGCTCTTAAAAGCTCATTCATAGGTACACAAACCTTCTTGATATTCAGCCGCTGCTCTAAAAGGGTGTGTTACACCTCACGTGATCGACAGAGGAAGAAGAAACAACTGGTTTAGTCAAAAAGAGGTATTTAGAAAATGCTCCTGGGCCATATAGCCACACTTCTCATGTTTTCAAGCTTTTCACTCTTGGCACTATTCTTCCATGATAAATACGATAATTTCCATCTTAAAACAAACAAACGTTTGTGCAGGAAAAGGAAACGGAGCCCTCAAGCCTATTTCTATCTGCCTAACTCCATCCAAGAAAGGCCAGTCAATCAGCAGTTTTGTCTTCACTGGAAAAGTTAGTATTGGAAAAGTCTGCATTTAAGGAGTGATAGGACTAGGAGTGGTCGAGTGGTAGAAAAGATGGTGACCCTAGGGCACATGGTATGGGACTTCTCCGCCAGCTTGGTGTGAGCCTAAGGAGGACATTTGCCAGGCAAAATAAAACCAATGAAGCGTCGACTGTTTGTTTTGAATCACATAAACAAATACGGACGCTGTTTGGTTTTGAATTCCAGCTCTTCCACTTGCTGGTTGTACGACCTTAACCTGTCTCTGCATCAGTTTTCTCAGCTGTAAAATAGGGATGAAAACAACGCCTACAACACAGAGGTTAGGTGAGGTCCAAATAAGTGAATACACGTCAAGAGCTTACAAAAGTACCTGGCAAATATCAAAAACTCAATAAAAGTTCTCTAGTATCATCAGTAACATCAAGATATAAGCTTCCCATGGAATTACAGTTGCCGTCCCTTTACAGTAAGAGGGGAGTTTATCCGGCTCTGGTTAGATAAACAACCTTAAAAATTCCATTCTCTCTCAATTCCTTCTGCAGGCACAGTTACAAATAGTGTTCTTTAAAAAGTCTTTCTCAAAAGGCAAATACGCAGGATCTTACTTATATATGGACTCTAAATAGTCAATCTAGAAGCTCTTCTCTAACAGAATGGTGGTGGCCAAGAGTGGAGGAGGCAATGGGGACATGTTGGTCAAAGCGTATAAAGTTTAAAAAAAAAATTGTTCTCTTTAACTGTTAAATAATTTTCTTTCAACCTGCTAAAATATTGTAGTTTTTTTCCCCTGGGTTCAGTTGTGTTTCATTGAGATGTATTTATGATATATGACAAAAACCAGAATTGAAAAAATATTACAGAGGCTGGGCCCGTAGCTGAGTGGTTAAGTTCGTGCGTTCCACTTTGGCAGCTCAGGGTTTTGCTGGTTCGGATCCTGGGTGCAGACATGGCACCGCTCATCAAGCCGTGCTGAGGTGTCATCCCACATAGCACAACCAGAGGGACCCACAGCTAGAATATACAACTACGTATTGAGGGGCTTTGGGGAGAAGAAGAAAGAAAGAAAGAAAAATATTGGCAGATGTTAGCTCAGGTGCCAATCTTAAAAAAAAAAAAAATTACAGAAAAATGGAACTGGTACTCTCCTTGGCAAGTAATTCTTTCCTCTTTCAATTACTTATAACACAAAGTATTTATTTTAGAAAAGAATACCACAAGAATGGTTCACTATATTCTTCCTCCTATTCAGTTAAAACCTATCCCCTTTTTTTTCTTTTTTTAGCACCTGCTATTCAGCATTTTTCAAGCTGTACTTGCAACCTGTTAGAAATTACTGAAATCCTGAACTAAATTTCTTTTTTAAAAAAGTTAAAGAGAACAGGAACTGTTAGGGTGAATCATGTGTAGTTAAGGGCAATCTGGTTTTGTGAGACTTCTCTTTCTGCTTCATATATGTAAGTATGTACGATGGAGGTGCGTGTATACTGGGGTTGTGACACAATAAATTTCTTACTGTGGGTCCCAACCAAGAGTGTGATAAACACTGAATTAGACAGTTGGCAAAAGGCCTTGTTCTGCTTAAATCATCATTATTTCTCAGGGATTTTGCAAAGAGGTCTCATTCATGGTAAACATACTTAGAATTTTCAAAAGAAGGTCAATGCAAAATAATCGAAGTTTTCCTTCATCACACCTCAGCATCCTGATGGTGGCAATGATTATTAACTGTATTTTTCCCCTTAGCCTTCTCAGTGGCTCAAATACAAACCATTTACCATGGCAATGCAACCACCGCTTCCTCATTACAGCCTTATTCTACAGATGTTTATAAGATGCCTCCTATGTGCCAGTACTACCCTAGTTGATAGGGATAAATAAGACTCTGACAGGAGCTCACTGAGTGCTATTCTTGAGAAGGACCTGTTTTCTGTTCTCAATGAGAAGAAAGGTATCATGGACACTTGGCCTTGCTTACCCAGGTCTGTTTCTTATGGACAAATCTAGAACTATACAAACTAACAATGTCTGGTTGCAATAAAAAAGCAAAAGTAAACAATTTCTACTTCGTAATAAAATAGTTGGAGTGGAAAAAATACACACCGACAACTTTGTAAAACCACTCATTTGGTAATAATTCATATATTACTTTTGCTAGCTCTAGTGTTGTCACTGCAGACTATGTGTATCTTTCTTGTTTGTTCTCTCCTTATTTATCCTGGTTCCTAATCCATTGTCCATTATGTATATTGCAAACAGTCCCTCCTTGTTTACCCCTGGCCTCCTCCAGACTGTAAGCTCCCTGCAGGCAGGGGCTCTACCCGATATACCTCCTTTGTGCTTCACACAATACCTAGAAGAGTAACAGACACGCACCAGGCACCCAATAACTTTTGTTGATGGATAAGGAAAAAGTACGGAAGCTTTTACCTTGGAGGGACTGGCAGACTGGGGCACAAGGAGCCTGCATTTGGATTCTGGGTGTAGTTGAAGGAATTCAAGCTATAAACACACAGGAAGGACCCTGGAAGCAGAAGACACACAGACTGTACCATCTTCCCATATTGTGCCCATCTTTCTAGTGGAGCCAGTAAGGAAATCATAGTCATTTTACAAACCCAGGAGAGAGACAGAATAAGTCACTCAGATTTAGAAAACAGGCCTATGGGTGACCTAAATACAAAAGAATTAGCATACCATCTGAGGTCAAGTTAGGTCCTCTCTTCCTCTTTCTCCAAAACCCCAAATCCAAGACTAAAAGCTATATGATTGGTACTAAAATGATTTGAAGTTTATTTGAAGATATTAATTGGATAGGCTTGATATTTTTAACTCAGCCTTGCAATTAATCTTTAAAAAATCTGGCGTACTATTTCACAGGCAGATAAAATTTGCAGTAAGTTGCCTCAAATTCCCTTTACTTTCTTTTGGTTGTTTAGTCTTTGTAACATAAACCTGAAAAGTGGGCTCAGAACAAGGTACTTCAGTTACTCAAACGTTTGCTACCACTTATGACTATCCCACTGGTCGGTGAAAGTACCCAACATTTTAATGAAAGAACATACTTGTTGGCAATTCACTCCGAAGCCTGTGGGCGCCTCTCTAGGACTGGATGGGCCCCGGGCACAGAGCTCTCTGACCTCCGTCTGACCCTGCCTGCAGGCCATAAATGTCTGTCATCTACTCTGTGTTCTCTACGGAAGACTATTCCCTGGCAGTGAGCAGAGAACAGCTAGGGTTTCAGATAAATTCCAGATAAACCAGAGTGAAATTGAACAAGCTCAAGAGAAAATGTTTACAGCCTTTTCCACACATGAAGAGGCACCCACAAGGAAGGGTGATTTCCAGCTTTGCAGAGAAAGGAGTGTCAGGGTAAGTTATCTGGTCTAGGTCTGCACAGGTTACCCCACCGTGGTTCCCAGCCTCAGGGGAAAGAGGGAGCCCGTCCCTCGGTACCTACCACTGTTGTTTGCAAAGAGCTGAACCTCTTCCAGGGTATCAAGCTGCTCTTCAGGACAGCTGGACACACAGAGGACAGTGGAACTGAGCCTCACATCTTTCACCTCCAGGTTGCAGGAATTCATAAAGAACACGTGTCTAGGAGATAGATCAAACAGATAATGTTTTAGAGCATTTCCACTCCTTGGGTTTCACTGCGGGCTTTAAAAAATATCCACGTGCTATCAAATATGGGAATAATTAACGCAAACTTTTATAATCAAATGCTTCAGCATAATTTAACATGTAGCATGCCTCCTGGGGGTCATCTAGGGAGTTGCGCAGCTTGGGAAGCATACTCAAATGTTAACACAACTTTCCTTTTCCAGATTCAGCATTTTCTGGGGGAGAACACTAGGGAGTTAACTTAGGAAGTCACTGAGGAAGGGAGGGGATTGATTCAACTGCCTGTGGATTGCCACATCAGGCCAGTGCAGAAACTGCTCAGTGAAGTCCACAGAAGGCATTTTTGCACCCAAGAGCGTTCAACTATACCTCAGAGACTAGCTGAACCCAGGGAAGAGAGAAGTGGAAAGGAGGGGCCAGAGGCTCTGAATTAAAGGTTTGCTCCTCCCTCTGCCTCCCAGTTTGAGAGCCAGAAAACTCAGGAGACCCTTGCTGCTGCACTGTGCAGCCACTGGGGAGGTGGGCAATGCCCCCAGGCAATCCACGTCCAGCAACGCAAAGCCACCGTCCTCAGGAGTGACATTCAAGGACAGAAAACGCTTGGTCTGAGATTCATATTCGGTGACTCCAAACTTACATTCAGGACCTATTTAGACCCTTAAGATTTCTCTCCTGGGAGCTGCTTTTGATTATCAAGCCTCAAAAGTTACTAGGAGGCAGTCTCCATCGTAGAAAGTCACAGCCAGGGATTCCTCTCCCCTCTGGATTTCTGTCTCTTCTCTCCCCTTCCTGTTTCTGTGTTGGAGTCAGAGGAGGAAAAACGTGACATCACAGCACCAGAGTTGAGAGTGTAGACTGAGGAGGAAGTGAGACACAGCCCCCAGCATTCCCAGTGCAAGCCAGGTATTCTGCTTAGAGACAATACTGTGGATGGAGTACAATTGGCAACAGGATTTAACTCACTATGAATCGCTGTAACAACTAACCTTTACTAAACCTTAGCTCGTGCAGTGGCTCAGCCGATCCTCAAAACAACCTTGCGAGGTGGGTGCAATAACCAGTTTAAAAAGTTGAAAACCTGGCTCATAGAGGTTAAGTACTCTGTCCAAGGTGACACTGCTGAAAAGCAGCAGAGGCTGAATTTGAACTTAGGACTGGCTGATTCTAAAACCCATGTCCTTCTTACCACATATATGCCTCCCTCTTTAAGAGATGGGCTGAAAGAGTTTTGAATGGGAAAACAGCTTCCAGGCTCAACATGACTAATTTATACAAGATTTTGAAATATAGCCCTTGTACAGGTTGGGGACTTACTTGAATACTTTTTTATTTTGGTGAGGAAGATTGGCCCTGAGCTAACATCGGTTGCCAATCTTCCTCTTTTTACTTGAGGAAGATTGTCACTGAGCTAACATCTGTGCCAGACTTCCTCTGTTTCGCACGTGCGACACTGCCACAGCATGGCTTGATTAGCGGTGTGTAGGTCTGCCCCCAGGATCTGAACCCATGAACCCTGGGCCACTGAAGCAGAGAGCGTGAACTTAACCACCACGCCATCGGGCCAGCCCCTTGAATACTTACTTTTTTAGGGTCATGTCCTGCCCTGAAAGAGGGGCTCCTTCTACTGGGGAGTTCTTCTTGCCACACACGTTGCCAAAGCTGTCATAGCCGAAGAGGAGTCTTCCCGTGGCTCCCGCCGCCACCGAGTAGCCCATGATGAACACCTGGCAAAACCCATCCAGGTGGCATGTGAAAGCCTGGCCAACGTGCTGAAAACATGGTCCCCCACATCCCTGAAGATGCTGATATAAAATGAAACCAGGTGAAAATGAATCCCCCAGCGTCACTGCACTGCTCTCCTTCAGCAACAACGTCAATGACTCAAATGAGTTAGGAAGCTGCTCATGTGCTACTTGTGTGAACAGGGTGGGTAGGGAGAACGTTCTAAAACGCCGACACAGAGTTCTCACCATTTTCTCCCCTCTTTGCACTTCTCGCCGTCTTCTCCTAGCGTCTGTCATTTTTCCCTCTTGGCCTCACTTCACCAGGACAACTTAGTGCTTTTCCCCTCGAGGTTCTTGGTTTACCAAGTGCACCAGGGCTGTACTACTTCTTTCTCTGACTTTCCTCCCCTTCCTCCCTCTCCCTCGCTTTCCCTTTTTCTTTCTGTCTTATATTTAGGGCACTCCGACCCTCAGGGGCAGAGGCAACGCAGCTGACATGTACAAAAATACTGTTCATAACGAGCGTGAAAATGGAATAAGTGCTTAAAACACACAAAATAAAGAATCTTCGTATTCTGCTGGACAAGAACATCTTGCAATCTATAGTCACTTTTCTTTAATTTCATAACGAATGTGGGATGTTTGAAATTTCAGCTCAAATGATGGTTCCATTAATACGCATCGGCAGGCCTTCTACCAAGGCTGAGTATGTATCTTCTATAACACACACCCAGCGCTGTAAGTTTCCCAACATGCAATGCAGACAACACCATTTAATAGGTGGTAACGACAGCCTCATTCCAGGAGAGGGGATACCGTACATCATTCAATAAAATATGGTGTTGATACCGCATGTTCCAAAGGTATATCACCCCAAAGCGAAATAGGTTTCAGACATTCTGCATTCCCTACTAATTAAGAAATCAAGATAACAGTCTTCAAGTGCCCACTGTGTGCCAGCGGCTCTGTTGCTGGAGGACAGAAAGGTGAACAACCTCAAGTCCCCATCCTCAAGGAACTGAGCCTAGAAGACAGGCGCGGCTCAGGGCTCAGGAATCACCGGCCTCCTGGGAAGGAGGCTCTCTGCCCCTCGAATGCCCCCAGCACTTGCCATGGTCAGACTCCAGGACGAGTGCGTCACCTGTGCTGGCAGACAGGTCACTCCCCCTTTACTTACAGGCTGCGGGTGTGGGTTTGACGGTGTGCCCACGTGGCCGGCACGGCAGGCTGACCCAGCCCCGCATTGCTCCTCCCCTGCCCTTCCAGCTAAGATCCTGATTGGGTTTGGGTTTAGAGGGAGGAAAGGGGTCGTCTGTTTCTGCCCAGTTCTCCAGAAAGCTAATAAGGAAGTGACCATTCCCATTTACTAGCATTCTTTATGTTAATCTCTCCCTTGGAAGGTTGTGGGGAGAAGTGGGAGGTTTTTTCTTAGGGAGGGAGGAGGGATTTGGGTACCCCTGAGTCCCTGCCTTACAATTACTACTTTAAACCATCGAAAATTTGTTCTAATTTCAAACACACAATAGCAATTCCATAAGATAGGTGATACGGTAGGTGTGTATACCAGGTAGGGTGGGTCTACCAAGGTCACTGTCAGCTGTGCCAGGGAGATCTAGAAAATGGAGTCTTAAAAGACAAGAAGGAGAGGGCAAGGAGGGAGAGGACTCTGGAGAGGTAAGTAGAGACAGAGATGGTCCAGGTTTTGAGACGCTCTCTTCTATGTGTCTTATACAAATATAAACAAAGACTGGTAGTCTTTCTATTTGCAACAGACTGTCCCTGCTTCCAATTCTGGCCCCTCACCCCCTAACCTCCTTTGTCCAACCCTAACTCAGGGCAGCACCATCAATAATCCAGTCCAGCATGCGCCTCGTCACCGGTCAGGTCACAAGACCAGGAAGCTGAAGAGCAGAGACAGGAAAAACACTCTTTGCCCTGTTTTAAATATCTGTGGTTTAAAAATGTCGCAAAAGATACTAAAAGCCAGTCAGCTAAGGAAGGACTCTCATTATTCAAATTTAATACAGTAAAGAGAATGTGGGCATATTGAAGCCTTCAGACTGATTTTGCAAACGACATGTAATTTTAAAGCAGTTTCCAGCTCTGTGCCACCTCTCAGATGGTTCATAATTCTTCAGGCTGTGATGGGCCATCTACGAACCCTCTCCCCAGACAGCTGCCGGGCTGAGAGTCTGGTAGCCATGAGGCCTAGGGAAGATCACCAAGTAACATTAACTGCCAGAGGTCCACGCAGCCAGGTGCAGGCAGGATAGCTGGTCCCTGCATTTATGCAATAGCAGACCCGGCTAGAAACACGGGCATCTGTGGGAAGTTAAGGGGGAGGTGCAGTTTCTCTCAGCTCCTAGCGGAGAGCTCCAATGGCCATGATTTAGACACCCAGAACATTCAGTTACACCTTCAAAGCCCAACCTTCCCCTGTGTCTGTAACCAGTTGGTAAAGCCAACAACTGCACAAATACCTTTCTTACTTGGAAAGAGGAACAAACACTATATTCGAGTCATTCAAACAGAATTCTTTTCAACAAAGGTAATTAGTATCTGGTAGCTATTATCGAGCTTTATAAATTAATCATTTACCATGCAGCAAACAGCATGCCTCAATCTGGAGTGCATGGTTTCACGAACATGCTCTTGGAAGCAGTTGAGCGAGCCTTTTTCTGCTGTTACCTACGACTCTAAAATATGCATTGAAGCACCAACATTCAGCTTCCAAGAGACTCTCCCAGGACTGAAACGGCACAGCCGGATGAGGTCGACCAGCAATCCTACACACCTGGAAGCTGGAGTGGGGGGGGAAATTATTCTCTAACTAGTGGGTTTAAATCAAAGGCCTGTTTCCCTGTTAGCTGCTAAACCCCACATACCAGGAGAGTGTGTGTTATGCTCAGCTAAAGTATGAGTAACATATTTCTAGGCTCACCCTGGATTTTCCTATGTTAGAGGAACCGCAAACACTTGAGGAATATTTTATTTTGGGGGCTGAGACAGTAAAAGAATTTCCAAGCAGCGAGCTCGGATAATGAGACCACACACTGGTCTATTAAATAACAAGCCGGATGCAAACGGTGATTCTCATCTGCTAATGGAGTATTCCCTTAGAACGTGGCCTGCGGCAGGAAGACAGCCTCTCCCATTCAGTAAGTCGACGAGGTTAGGAGACACCTGACAAGAATTCTCCAGGACTGATGTTTATTCTGCAGTATTGGTAGATGTCTCTCATTGCACCACAGACTTTAACCTGGTAGCTCCCGGAGCCCTGGGCTTCCCCAGGGAAAGTACTAGGGGAGCAATTTACATTTGGGGCACAGTTATTTCGGGACACGCGCACACGCTCTGGGCTTTTCCCTGCCAAGCACCCACACTTACCAAACCAGTCCAAAAGAGAAAGAACAGGGATAACCATATCGTATCTGTGCATTTCCTATAAATCTGAGGTCGCCACTCTCTTTCCCTGGGGGTTCTCTCTGCAGAAACCTTCCAGAAAAAGAAGGGAGAGAGTTTAGAAAAAGAGGATAAATAATGATATGGATCCCAGCCTGGAAACTGAACCCAAACTTACTCGAAGACTGCTCGATTGTTTTTTTTTTTCAACGTGGCGGCCTAAGCTTTCCTGGGAGCCTGTGAAACACCTGCTCTTGCGGAGCGGTTGTGAATTCCCACTCGCCAAGTCCTTCCCCGGAGGTGCACCTGGAGGCGGCCCCAAGTTCGCGCTCCGAGGCCAGCCTCTCCCGCGCCTCTGCCCCAGCACTTCAGTGGGGTCCGAGGTCCTCCTCGCCAGGTGTCCCCAGCACTCAGCGGCGCCGGGGCGGGGGGTTATCCCTGAGGATTGGGGGAGGCGGAAGCGTCCCGGCAGGGCAGGTGCATGCAGGAGGGGACCTGAGCTTTCCCCCGCGGTGCCTTCCCCCGCGGTCCCTTCCCCGGGGGGCCAGATGCGGACACTGACCTGGTACTCGGCGCCGAAGCAGTGCATCCTGCGCTCCGCGCCCGGGGCCGCCGACTGGGAGCCGGCAGAGCGCCCGCGGCTGGCGGGCCTGGGGGCCAGGCGGCCGAGCGGCGGGAAGGGGCGCAGCGCCGCCCCGCGGCCGCCTCCGGGAGCCACGAACTGCGCGCTCGGCGCCGCCTAGAGGAGCGCCGGGCCCCGCGAGCACCGGCCCGCCCAGGGCCTCGGCCGTCGGCGCACTCCTTCCCGTCGGGATCCGGGGCCCGGGGCGCTTCCCCGCCCGCCTCACCCCTGCTCGGCGGCCGCTCCCGGGCTGCCAGTTTCGCGGCCTGCAGCGTGGAGGTCCCGGGCCGGCCCCGCCACCACCCCGGCGTGCCCTGCCGGGGGCTTGGTTAGCTGGCCGGCCACTGCAGGGAGCAGGAAGCAGAGGTTCAGCAAATCCTTCCCGAGGGGTGGGGGACCGTTCCGCGCTGCGTTATTCAGAGCTCACAGGTAAGAAGCACTTGCCCCGTGCCGGATTCTGTTCGACCCGCTTTACAAGCTTTATTAAATAATCAACAAGGCAGGGACTGTTGTTATCCCTAATCTACAGATGAGGGAAACTGAGGCACTGGACAGCAGCGATGTAACTTGCTCGAGGAGACACAGCTAGCACACTGTAGGCCCAGGAGTTGAACCCAGACCCTCACGGAGTCGCTCTCAAGGCGGTTCTCTGCAAACGCTACCATGTCTCTGGTTCAGCTGCCGTTTCTACCGAGACGGTGGACCCGGAGGCTGCTGGCTCTCTGCCACAAAGTCTTTCCTGAAGGGACTACCGGAGCCGGAGGAACCACGGGTTCTAGGAAGCAAAACAACAAGAATAAAAACCCTGGGAGCCTGAAGACTGCCTTAGTCTGAGTGTGCCGCAGGTGGGTGGCGGGAGGAGACGCTTAGACGTTGGCGGGGCTGAAAGAATCTTCGGGTCTGCTCTCACCTCTCTCCCGCGCTGCCTTGGGACAATCATTGCCCTACTCTTCGCACTTGAAATGGTAGCAACCGCAGAAGCCGCTGGTGGGGGAGTCCTCCAGGTAATAGCAGACCAGCACAGAAGTGCTGTTGGGGTGAGAATTATCACTGCAGACTGGTCCCCCTTACCCCTTTCACTCTACTCCTCCAGGGCTGCCAGGTTACTGTTTTCCTTCAATACTGTGTCTCCTTGAATGTAGAAACCTGGTTGGAGGAATGATCTGGTGTAGTATCAGAAAGTCTTGTTCGCTGGGGCCTGAGACATCAGTCCTGGGCTCATCACCACCTTCCCACCCCGCACCCACTGGGCCCTCCTGGACGCATGTTTATCAGGGTAGCTGAACTCCAGGGAACAGGAATTCACCAGACAAATAACCAGACAGCTGAGGAGTACAACTACTATAAAAAGACCACAATTGAGCAACATGTAGCCTCTGAAACCTAATTGTGAGAGTAGATGGACCAAGATTTTTAAATAAACATGATAAATATGTTTAAGAAGATGAGAGATGACGATAGCAGTATGAATCAGGAAAAAATATCATGAAACTAAAACAAACAGAAATATTACGCATGAAAAATATAATTGGAATGAATATTTATTGATGCTGTTTATTAATAACATTAGATAAATCATAGAAAAGATGCCACTGGATGCAGCTAATTAAGATGAATTATTGATTGGAAGAGCAGTTTCAGCAGCTCTGCAGAGGCAGCAAGAAAAGGTTAAAAAAATAAAATAAGGCTGTTTGTTTTAAAAATTCCTGATTAATATCAAGGATAGAACTAGAAGAGAAAAGGAGTGATATAAAAATGGAGAGGAGGAAATATTTGAAGACATAATGGAGATAAATTCCAAGGTTAAAAGAAAGAAAGAAACCTCAGATTGAAAGGGCAAGTCTCAATCCAATTATGAATATTTAAAATATATTATTTGTTTGTTTTAGGGATTTCCTAAAAATTCATTCATTGGGACAATAGCTCAACCACCCAACCAGCTCTCAACAGAATAACAGCCCCTCCTCAGAGCCACAGACCAGTCAGCTGGGTTATCCCATGAGTGTGCCCTTCAAGGCTCACTTCAGACCCTTCCCTTGCTGTGTTCACTAGTCACAACTATTATCTGACAAACTTACCCAATCTAATCAGCCTCCCTGCATTGAAAGACCCATCTTATACCAGACCCTAAGAAACCTGTAAATATCCCATCCTTGAAATACATCAAATATGTTTATATTCAGAAATTCACAATAATGCTAAGTAAAAATAAAAACATTGATTGCCTGTAGAGGAGTCTAAACTCATTATTCCAAAAACTGGTAAATAAGGGAAAGAATCAAGCGCATATCCTGCTTCTTTGACAGGAGCCATACTTCAGGGTAATCACATCACTGATGAAGGAAATTTTCCTTTAGAGAAGTCTGGCTTATAAGTGCAGAAGAAATGATAGAATTTAGGACATCACAGTTTTCTGAACATCAGAAAAGAGGGACAATCAGACATCAGCCTCCTCCCAGTGAAGAACACACTGCCACCAGTGAAGCTGTCATGCCAGAAAAGTCCACCTGAATCTGACTACCAATTTATAAGAAGTGTAGGGAATAGAGGAACAAGAGAAATGACACCACAGGGATGCCACCAGCAAAACCGAGAATGGGAAAGTCTTCAGACACGTGGCCTAGTTTGAACATCAACAACAGGAGCAGCAGCAAAACAAGTTAGAAAAAAAAAGCAGGGAGGGGAATGTAAATTAAAAGAATGTAAATGAGAAGAATGTAAATTAAAAGAGACGTAGGAGATATTTTAACTAATTATAATGTAAGGACATTGTTTAGAACCAGCTTAAACCAACCGGAAAAATAAAAAGAAAGAAGGCCATTCAGTGAACAATCTAGGGAATGTGAATACTGATTGGATATTTGATGGTTTTAAGTAATTCATATTAAGAAATTTGGGGATCTGACGATGTCATTGGGGTTAAGTTTAAAAAGGAGAGTCATCTTTTAGATTTACGTACTCAAACTTTTACAAAATGATATGCTGTCTGCGATTTGCTTTAAAAAATTCAGGGCAAAGGGCAATGGGTGGAGGTGTAGGAGGAACGAGGTTGACCATCAGTTGGTAATTGCTGAAGTTGGGGGACGTATACATGGGGTTCATTGAATTGTTTTCTCTGCTTTGGTATGTTTGCAACTTTATACACACACTCAGAGAAAACAACAATGCATCCCTCTCCCAAGCCTCCACTTAGGCAGCCTCTAACACTTACTGTACACACGTACCTGTTACTGAACACACTTGCCTTTTCTCCTTTTTTACTCCCTACCCCACAGCCTGAGCCCTCAGCCTGACCCCATCTATCCTCAGGAGGCAACACCCCCTGCTGAGCCTTAGGATGGTTGTGTCTCCAGACCTATTGGCCTTGTCAAGGTGCCCCGCTCCTACAGTTTCCCTCAAACTCCTCTCCAACCCCATCTGCAAGCCCCTGGTGCTTCTGCAGCACTTGGGCCGTAATGTTTTCTCCTCTTCTACGTGTCTCTTCATCCCTCACTCACACTGCCTCTTCTGCCCATCCATCCCTAAATTTCTCATGATCTGCATGCTTTTCCTTCCTGATACTCTAATCCGCATCTCTTCCAAAGGCTTTGGCACCTTCCTTAACTTCTAGCTGCTCTCCCCAGATGCTGGACTCTTACTCCTGTCCTGATCCAGCCAGACAGAGATGCAATTAGAACCACTCAAGTTGCCTGCTTTCCTTTCAAGCATCTGACCACTACCATTCGGGTCAGGCCTCTCACGTGCAGACTGACGCTTGAGCTGGGCTTCAGCCTGCACATCTTATTGACACTGTACTTTGGGGCCAACACCTGGGGAAGGTCGCATTTCCCACCCTCTATTCCACTTTGCTCAGGCTTTCTTCCTCTCCTCACCAGCTCCTCTGGCTGAGTTCCCAGCATGCTTTGAACCCTAGCCTGACACCCTATGGTTAAAATACTGTGATGCTGGACTGTGATATGGCAATTTGTCTTCCAAGAATAAGGGTTCACCTAAGAAAGTCAGTTATTAGAGGCTCCAGAGAGGGCAGGATCATCAGCTCAGGCCTGAGGATCCAGATCTTTCATCATCTTTCCTTTCCTGTCAGCCATGAAGATTCATCCCTCAGAATGGAAGCGAGAAATTAGATGAAGGATACAGGGGTCTTGGGTTTGAACTTTGGTATTTGTTGTTGGTCCAGGAATGGCCCAAGATGCACTGGACAGATAAGGGGGCTGCAAGGGGCCATTGGCTACAAGACAGGAAAGGGGGTGAGAGGAAGAGAGCCAAGCAAGGTGTGTGTGTAAAGGAGTCCCAGTGCTTTCGAGCTGGATTGGGAGAATTTCAGGATGAGGAAGTTGGAGGCTCTGAAAAGTCTTTCTTTTCTCTTTGAAATCTTTGGATCAGAAATCTGGTCTCTGGAACCTTGACTATTTCAGCTGTTCTCCATCCAACAAGGATTGACTGAACATTTGCTTTGTACCAGGACTTGGGCCGACTCAAGGGGCACAAACACCAAGCAGGAGCATTTGCCCCTTCGTGAAGGTCACACTTGCTTGGGGGTTGGTGATGAGACACATGGTGAGGGTTCTTTGCCCAGAGCAATGGTTCCCGGAAAACCTCCTGGGAAAGGGTGCCTGAGTTGAGGGGTCAAGTGTGAGTAAGAGATGACGAGGCAGACAGAGGGGGAGAGGGCATTCCCAGCAGAAGAAACAGCAGGGACAAAGGCCTGGATGTGTGGAACTGCACGGAGAACCCCGAGCCGTGCAGTACTGCTGGAAAACGAACAGGAGCAAGGGAAGGAGGGTGGGGTGAGTCTGAAGGCGGAAACCTCTCAGCCGTTTAGGGCCCAGCCTGCCACACTGAGGACCTGCTTGTCTTTTTGTGGTTTTATCTTTCCCATTCGCCCTCACTAGAACAGCGTTTGGAAAATGCTGTCCTGCCCTGGTTGTACTTAGAGGACTGGAAGAAGAGGGGCTTGTTCCTCCTCGTGCCTCAGAAGAGCTGGAAGCGAGAGCGACAGTTTCGGGGCTATAGGTAGTAGGAGCAGCAAGAATCAAGTGAGACACTCTTATGGGGCAGTGAG